ATCTATCTCTTCAATCTATCTGACAATAGCGCTGATTTTTCTCGTCAGGCTTATATATTAAAAAGAGGGCGTCTCGAATGCACTCGGGCCTTCATGATCTTTCTAGAAATTCCAGCGCGCATGCTCCTAGCGTCGGGTGACTTCCGCTGTCGTAACATCGTTTTATCATCTTTCTCTCAAACACAAGCATGCATATAAGTGCACACACATATATTCATTAAGTGTTCATCTTATTTATTATATAGAAGTACAAACACAAGGGTAGTTGGAAAGGCTAAAGTCAAAGAAAGAGGAAGAAAATAAAACTGGAAAAAGTAACAGCTAAAAGTATGCAGCTAACGGATTTATGGGCTTCGTCTTTTGGTGCCGAAACTCTCGTCAGTAGACACTAAATCTCATCATATCAAACTGAGATACTGTCATCAGTCAGAAAACGCTGATAGTATAATCGCCAACAAATACTGCGAAAGCAGTCATGTAGAGACTACAATTCTCAATATTTCTGACTGCCAACCTCATCAAATTGAATTGAGCTCTTACCAACAGGAAGTAATCAATTATTGCAATGGAGATGAAGACACTAACCAATCCTTTATAAACAACATGGGGACATGGACATAAGTTTATGACAAAATGAGAGATTTTGTTTGTGCATCAAAAATTATCTCTTGCCAGTAATTGGATGCAGATTTCAGTGCATCTATAAAATCGATTATGGGTGACAAGTATAAATGTCAATGCTCAAAGCCTCTTTTTTATCACGAGCAATTGAATAAAGAAAGGGTTAAAAGGGACGGGCTTTGCTATTCGCCATTAAAGGGAAACGTTTTCTGCATTATATGTAAATTGTTTTCAACAGCAATAGAAACTTCTGGTTACTATAACTGGAAACATGTTGAAAGGGTAAGAAGCAAGCTCACTCCATCAAAGTTGTGTCACCAGGTTTGTTGTTCACAAAACCAAAGGCAGATGAATTGGCAAGACTTTAATAGAGCAAATGAAGTCAAAGTAAAAATACTACACTAAGTTCTAGAGTGTTTTAAAGTTTTTATCATCCAGAGGGCTAGCATTCAGAGAAAATAATAAAGTAACTGTTGCAGAGCATAATGGCAATTACTTAAGTATGCTGGAGCTATTGGAGTATGACATATTTCTTCCTGAACACATTCAAATATGTGCACATAAGGGAAAAGGTAATGTTTTATACTTATTCTCAACTGTTTATGATAATTCATAAAAATTTTACTCAAATAATTCTCCTCACCATTATCCCGGAAATCAAAACATCCAAATATTATGGAGTGTTTCTTGATTCTACTGCAGACATATCTCACATGAATGAACTGACAATATACACTCAAGATGATGACCCTCTAGAGAGAGAGATTCGCCACATTCTTACTGATAAACAATCACACAGGAGCAGAAATTGTCAGAGTTCTCATTAATTTTCTTGAAAAAACAATTGTACAAGAATTCAAGATTGCCATGGGCAGTCTTACAACAATGCATCCAATATAAGCTCCAAATATGTTTGCATGCAAGTTTGACCAAAGAAAAAAAAACAAATCCAGAAGACTATATTCCCTGCCATGCTCATTTGCTCAGTTTGGTTGGATATTGTCTTGTGGAATATTGTACTGTGGCTTGTTTATTCTTTGTTTTTGTGCAGAAACCTTATGTATTTTTTCATTTTCAACCCGCCTATGGAGCACTTACATGATATGCTTGAAAAACTAGGGTTCCCGACGATAAAGAGGTTATCAAACACAAGATGAAGTGCCTATTTAGACACAATGTGAGCCTTAAAAATAGGGTACAAAGCCATAATCCAAGTCTTCACTTCAATTGCAAGCAATGACTCTGAAAGGCTTTAAGTACCTTGTGCTACAATTGAAACAACTAGAAACATAGAATAACGGAATTATGGAGTGCTATCCTGGAGAAGTTTCACAAGACAAGTCGTGCGTTAAAAAACTTTCCATTGTATGTTAGTACAGCTTCTCATCTGCTACAATCTCTCAAAAATTTTTTTCAGAATTACAAGATTTATTCCCCAATATGAGGAAAATTGTAAACAACTGTCGGGATGTGAAAAATATAAGGTTAAAAGATCAAGGAAAAAGAAGAGAAATATGTGAAAGGATGACGGAGATGTTAAGAACAACAATGATTTTTCGCCCTCTAATCAACATAAATTTCAGACTATCTTAACAATAAAATCGACAAACTGTCATTTCTAGACTACAGAATAGTAGCATATGGAAACGTCAGCTGCAAATTTGGGTTTTATGAAACTTAGAGTCCATGCCTACAGAAGACCTATGCAATACCAAAAAGTTGATTAGTACGTATTCTACAAACTTGGAGAGTTGCACATAGGAAGAACTTACCATCCTCTTTAAGGCAGGGTTCGTTGAAAAACCGTCAGAATCCAAGGAACAAAGTATGCTGAGAAACATATGTGACCATTCACTGACATCAACTTTCCTAAACGTCGTGATAATCTTAAGGGTGTACCTGTGCCTCAAGTCAAGCAATTGCTCAGGAGAAAGATAATTCTTGATGCTAAAAAGGACAAAGAACACACTTTGATCAACAATGTGCTAAGAGAGGCTAACTTCAGTAACACTTTTTTGAAAAAAAGAGCCAGGGAGACAATAATTTAACCAAGTACAGATGACATGACCTGCTACTACTAGGCATACTATGTGAGTATCAGTGTGATTTAAGTATGTGTGTGTTTTTGTGCATTTGTTTGTTTGTGTGCGTGTGAATGTGTGAGTTGTTGAGCTTATTTTTATGTAGTTGCTTTCTGTGCATATGCTTTGTTGTCCAAATGTAAATTTTATTTCTATTAGAGCACCACTTTTTCTATTCAAGAATCATATAATACTGTTCATTAATTTGCAGACGAATCCTGCAAATGTGTATGTATTATTTTTCCATTGTCTCAAAAAACAAAACATATCTCGACATTCATCTCTTTTTTACCTTAGTCTTTAGTTGCGATCATAATAGGCATGGTAGAAAAATTTAGCCCAAATTCCACTTGACCCTTAATCTGACCCTGGTAATGAAAACAACAAACCATAACATTCGAGTCATGTATGGGTAGATCATTGCAAAGTGTGAAGCTGTACAGGTTGTACTTCCACATTCAAAAACATCAGTTTTAGTCACCTTTCAGGAAAGATGTGGAAGTCGGATGTCAAATCCTCACAAAAGGACAGATTATTACCTTTCTTACAAGTGCTGTATGATTGGATCTATGGAAGTCTCACAGCTCAACGATGCCAGGGGTTATGTGACCTGCTCATGGAATATCAAGATATTTTCTCCAGGGAACCTCAAGATATTGACCAAACAAATATTACAAGATTGACATTGAATGCACAGCCTCAATACACCAGTTAGACAGACGACTCCCACTTGCAAAATAGCCTGAGTCTTTTAAATAAATAAAAGCCATGAAGGTACAGGGAGTGATAAAACCGAGTACTAGTCCTTGTTAAGAAGAAGAAGAATGAATCAATAATGACTATCGCAAGGAGAATTAAGTCACAAAATGTCAAATCATTTCCAAAGTTTTCATCTTTCTGCCCCCTTAAAGAATCAACTTTAATAACATCAAGTAACCTTTCAGTTGAGAGTTGTAGCAAATATCAAGGATTGGTTGCTGCCTTATCCACAAAATTCAGAGTATCACACCAAAAAGGAGTATCCAGAGTAAAGTTTCATAATAGGTACAGAGGAAAGAGGTGATCCTAGCCGAGCATGCAGAATATTTGGAAATGTTTGCTCAGTTATTTTGCCCAGATAGTTAGTCCTTGTGAAATGATGAATTCATTGACAAGTGACCATTCTATAGACTATATAAGAGATGAGGATATGAGAATCAGGCTGAAGCAAAATAGATGTATATCTATACTTAAAAAAGCTCTGTGGTTAGTGATGAAACTAGAGTACATTAAAGGTACAGATAAAAAGCTAAAGACACTACTTCAAATTCATAAGCTCTTCAGAATGAGTAGTACTGAAACATTAACTTTAGAAGAACTAAAGAGACTAGTTAATAGGGAATAACAACTCCTCCATCTTCCCCCCATTAAAAGAAGTTCATTATTTGAAACAAAGTTGTGAAGCGTGTGGTGTTTGTTTTCAAGATAGATATAGCTACTTTCAAGATTTGACTCTGTGTTTGCTGTCGCGCTTATTGAGTTATTTTTTACAAATAGATTAATTGTTTTATTTTAGTTACGTTATTTGTAGTTTAAGCCAACAAAAAATTCAGGACAGTTCACGTGTGAAAGTTTGTAGAAACGTTAACGGAGAAAATAAAGTAATTTTTTCTCGTCTCGTGGACTGAACGTTGCATTATTTAATTCAAAAGAACGAACGAAAAACACTACAACAATATTTGCAATGCAGAAATATATCATTCACCTATAATTTTTTTCCACTATCCAACTCACAGAAGTTTGTACAAAACACAGAGAAGCCTCTTTTTTTTGGCATGTTTGCTTTTTTATTCAAACTTTCTGGCAACAAGTCCTTTGATTTTTTAATACAATGTAATTATTATTTACTCTGTTATTTTATTCTATTTAGTACAAATTCAAATATTCATACAATTATTGTGAAAATAAGCTACCAATAACTTCAGGAAATTGACTAAAATATTATTACGTAAAAACTCATTCTGTGTGCGATAAAGTGTTTGTAAGTAATTGGAAAGTGGGAAGAAAGGAAATGTAATCAAGTGGCAATTTGTTAATAATTGATTACCTTCCTAAGGTTATGATTTAATTGTAAGATAGGTCTTCGGTCTCATAACAGTGTACTTAACAATGATTTTGAGATTTCAGTAATGTTACACTTGTTTATTTGAAGTATAGCCTTCATAATAACTATGATTTTATGAAGCTAGCGACATCTATGCATATTATTAATTGTCAGCTAATGAAAAATTACACGTGACAAAGCGTTTTGATCTCATATTTTCCATCACTATGATTTTGTAATTATGTATGATGTTGCATCAAGACTTTAATCACTCTATATTTATTCATCTAGTTTACATATGGTGTATAACTGATAATCCAGTGAAATGATTTTCACCTTCTTCGTAACTGCTGTTATGACTACTACCAGGATCTCAAGTAAGTGAAACTGAAAATTTAAGTGTCTAATACTGATAGTGTATGTGGGAGGTAGAAGTTTTTTGTTTTTTTTATGTCAGTATGTTATGACCACCAGGAGTTCGATTTAAATTCAATTCATTTTCAAATAAAATTAGATATATAAATGGTTGAATTGGGATATACTCAATGTGTGGTTTAATAGGTGGGCGTGCTTCTTTCGGTTGGTTCGTGGAAAGGTTGTATAGTTAGAGAAAGAAGCTACAGTTTAGTGTATATAAACTTATAGTTATACTTCCCATTGTGGTCCTCCGAGATAAAATAAAAAATTCAGGTGGTTCGCTAACAAACAGGTTGAAACGTTGGGAACTGTTGGTCTATAGAATAGCATAATTTTAGTAATCATCTACGCAGTGGGATTATATTTAAGTTCTCGCGCTGAGGAAACGGGTTATATACTCTAGCCCTATACTATAAATAATTACCACTTCGTAGTAGTTTTTTGACAATTTAAGACAGTATCTTATAATACTTGAAAGAGAAATGCTTTTGCCACATAACAATTAATACTGGACGTGGGCATTTAATATCTAAGCCTAAGCTTCTTGAACTTTATTACATTACATTTCTAAATTCTATAGCAGAGTCCAAAATTCGCAAAATTTCTAATTGGTCCTTGTCAAAAATTCTAAATGGTCCACTCAAGAACGTGCATGTGTGTGTCTGTGTGTTATTTTTATCAATTACAGACCCGAATTTTTTTTTTTTAAAGAAAAGACATCAGCAAATATGTATGTGCATACATTTATTATATATCATATGTTTAAGTTTTGTTTAATATTATACAAAACTTTAATTGAAAATAACAGTTTTTCATTACATCAATCTTGGAATGTACATAGTATTTATATTAACTGAGATAAATCTAAAAAAAATAATCTGGCTTGAGATTATTATTTTTATAATGTCTAAAAATAGGGATTCCGAGAAATCTAAAGGCTCCATTTGGGAGATTGAACTTGAAGTAAAGAGGATAATTTCACAATATGAAAAGACTACTATGGTTTTAGGGAAAAGGTATAAAAATGTATGCTTGATGACAAGTTAAAATGCTTAAGAATTCTTGTTGCTCTAGTAGGGCTGATTATATTGTTTTCTCTGCTATTCTCGTTGACCCATGGGCTCCCTATCTGGTAAGAGCCAACTAAATGATGTGTGTTTTGGAGTCTCAAACAAAGGTGTTATTAGAATGTTAACTACAAAATATGTACAGTAGTTGTATTTTGGCAACCATCTGGCATAAAAGAAATTGGATGATTGTGCCTGGGTGGCACTTAAAAAAATAATTTTTTGCTCTGTTATCCAAAACATTTGTGGATAGTGTAATTTAAAGCAACTCGTATCACAAATATATATATATAATATACAAAAATCTACTTTTCCCAAAGAATATTTGAGTAAATACGTTCATTAGGGAAGGAAACTTTATTGAATGTTGATTTTTAGAATGGTTTTCTGTATGATCTCTTCAATAAATTCAAACACTTTACTGGTTAAGAAACATTGGCTTATGATTTCATGATCTTTTATTAACACTTTCTTTTTAAAAATGGGAATCACATGCATTTTTATTCTTAGCATCATCAGGAATTTGTCCGATGTCAATCAAGTTTTGAAATATAACATTTAAAGTATCCAATAATTCTTGAACAAGTTTCTTCAGTGTTTTGAAATGAAGCTTGTGGCCAAAAGATTTTTCACAAAAAGTTTTAAGTTTTCCCAAACATCTTTTCCTTCAACCAATATAGATTTTAAGAAATGCTTTTCCTCTCTTCAGAACATCTGAGAATCTGAAGAATATTTTCTTTTTCTTTCAATCAGTAAAAACATTAGTAAAGAGTTGGGAAATCTTAACTACACACCTTTTTTTATAGCGAAGTTTATTTTGGACTCTTTTAAAAGGACTATCAGTTTTTGGCTCTTCCTTTTATAATTTTATGAATTTCTGTAAACTTCACACTTTTCATGTATCGGTAACTTACTTTCATTGTTTTTCTAATTGGGAATGAGCTTTTGAATATGCAAGATTTTGAAAGGATTGCATTCTTTTTGGACATTGTAACAGCTTGATAAATATTTTCAAACTTTATTAAAATTTTTCTTAGCTCGATTAGCTACCCAATCTTTCTTTTTATAATGTCCTACAGTCTCTCAAAGTTAGCTTTCTTGGAAGCAAGTACATAATTAATAAACCTTAAACTTACCCATGATTTTGACATAAGCATAAAGTGTTGTATTTGTTTGTAATCAAGTGCTTTTTCACAACTAATATTCTAATCTTATCCTTCTCAGTACTAAAGCAAGGTGAGCTATTATCTTTGAGTATTGATTACATTGATTAGTGTTATGTAAAGTAGTTGATTAACCAAAGCTATGATTAAATTGGTTTTCAAAAAATTATTAACTGTTCAGAATTAGTGTTTCCAGTTGTTACTGTTCTGTCTGATTCTCCGAGATATTGAAATATTGCCATTATCATTTCTCTTTATATTTTCAATTAATTCAAGGTTGTTCAGCTTAATTGTATTAGTATGAATCTTACCTTGCTTGCTCCAGCTCTTATACCACACTATATTGCTCATAGCAAGTTAAATCTTGTGATTCGCTCCTCCTATGTCAATGTGGCCCTATCTCAGATCCATATAGAAGCTCTCCGTTATTACTTCCTATTCACTTTTTCTTGACTGCAGAACATTACAACGATAGTTTTATGTGCTTGCTGTGGGTTTCTCTACAGCATTGAATAACTTTAGTTATACCTATGGTTTAGACAATCTCACTTTTTTTATAGACCTGTCTTATTGGGTCTTGATTTGTCTGTTTTCTTTATTTTACATAAAATGAAATTATTTCAGATACATTTTCAGATATGAATTCACAAGTTCTTGTTTCTGATAGGGAGACGCCTAGTGATCCTACTCTGCCACTTCTGGTGTCTAGCATTACCCAGGTGTTTGGGGGGGGGGGGTTCTTTCTGTGGAGGATGTCCAGTCATTCATATGCAGAGAAATGGTGTCTTACTTGAGGTCTAGTGTTTTTTCTCCTGTCTGCTCAGAGGCTGAGCTTGGGAGGGTTTAATGATGGACTGGTGAGAATTTAGACTATTTTTCTTGCACCTTCCTCTCTCAGACAACTAATCACAAGCCTAGGATGGATATCCCGTCTCCTGCACCATTTTTGCAACTAATTTGTAGTGTCTTGAACATTTTTTGTGTAGCTTATGACTCTTCTCCTTCTTTTCTGGGGAAAATTGATTTGGCTGATTACCTGGTCTTTCCACCTTTGCTGGACATGCTAGGAGATTTGCTGATCACTTGAGAGAGGGTGCTGCCATGCCTTATCCTGCCCATTTATTAGATCAGTATGCCTTAGCTTTCCATTGCTTGGACAACCCATATTTGGGTTCTCAGAGGTTAGATTCTCTTCATCCTATTTGGGGGTTCAAGGCCTGATGCCACTGATTGTCTTAACCAAAGTCAGTTTTCCTGAATTCATCTGTCCTTATTTATTGACTTCTACTTTGGTAAGGTTATTGGCTTCTGCTCTCTCCTTGGTCTCTTGGATGGTTGACTCTTCTCTATAGGATTATTATTCCCATTTGTTTGTAGTACGAAAGATGGACGGTTGGCAACATGTTATAAACTTTTCTCACCTAAATTGTTTCCTCCAGCCTCCTCAGTTTATGATGGAGTCATTTCTTTCCCTTCAACCAGCCTATGGAAGACAAAGTTTGATGTTGTTGATGCCTATCTTCATATTCTGATCACTGAATCTTCTTATCTTTATCTCCATTTTGTGCACAAGAGATACGTTTTTCATTTTAGTGCTTTACCATTCAGCCTCACATGTGCCCCAGATGTATTTTGCTGGATAGTCTGATCCTTCTCATGCCATTTTCACTCATTAGATATTCACACTCACTGTTATATGGATGACTGGCTTCTCATACCTTTCCACCACTTAACAGAATTTCTCACTCAAGCACTTTTATCCGAAGCTATGAGAGCTAGTTATCTCATCAAAACTGAAAAGTCTATTCTTACTACCACAGAGTACCTTGTCCATTTAGGGGTGTTTTTATATTCCAGTCACAGTTGGACCAATCTTCTCCTCTACTCCTTCAGGCCATGTAACAGGCTGTTCTTTTAATACAGTTGTTTCCTTCTCCACTAGTGCATGTGGTTCTATCTCTTTTGGGGATGTGGGCATCCTTGAAATCCTTCATTACTTTAGGTTAGGCTCACAAAGGTTCCCTTCATTGGTCGTTATGTGACCAATGGAACATTTGCATGTATGTGCTGAATTGTCCAGTGATCATGCCAGCTTCCAGCCTACTTGATCTTGGACAGGGACAACACGACAGTAGGTGTCTCTCTCCTCACCCCTACATTCAGAGATATGTCTTTTCATGGATGCTTCTCTCTAGGGCTGGGGTACTTGTATAGGGAATATGGAATTCAAGGGCCTTTGGACAGAAGAGGAATCTTTTCTCCACATCAATCTCTTAGAACTTCTAGCAGTTAAACAAGCTATATCTCAGGGTCTCGTATTGTTGCAAGGGAATGTGGTAATGCTTTACTCAGACAATTCAACAGTGGTTTCGTACATTTCCAAGCAAGGAGGCACTTACTCCAGGTCTCTTATTTCAAGCTTTGGATCTTCTCTTTTGGGCTCACGATCATTAGATTGTTCTCCTTGCTTGTCATGTTCCAGGTGTAATGAACTTAGTAGCCAATTAGAATAGATGCTTCATCCATAAGATTTTAGTTGGACCTGCTCTCATCTCGGAATGCCTCAGACTGATGCTTCTGCCACACACTGGAATTCCCAGCCCTCATCCTTCTGGTCTCCTGTACCTTACCCTCTAGCTTTGGGTATAGATGATTTCAGCCAGGATTGGATGAGTCTTCATCTTTACACGTTCTCTCCGATTCATCTGTTATCCAAAATTCTTGCACTGA